AAAGATATGTGGTTGATACACAGATAACCCGCACATAAAAGAGAGTGAGTGATGTTATGTTTTTGGAAGTGGTAAGTACAGTCTCTGTGGAAGAAGGAAAAAGCATTGCTGGGACTCTTAACCCAGAGGCTTATTAATTCAGGATAACTAAATAAAAGCCATGGTGTCATCAGACTGTGTCTTATTTGCAATGGGATCTTACAATCCTCTCCCCCGGGTTGTGACCCACACTGCTTGCTTAACACTCAGTTAATTACAAACTGCTAGATGAACAAGGGCAGCAGATGTAAGGAAATATGCCCAGTGTTTCCACTTGTATGAGTTTCGACTCTAGGTCTCTCAGTGTGTGAGCTGAGGCAGCTACTAAGTAAGTCACGAGCCTGCACCTTGAAAGATGTGTTGGGGGATGGTGTGATTCTGAAGATGAGGAGGACAAGAGCTGCACTTTGTATGTATGTTGGAGTTCAGTAAGTCACAAACCAGGCTGAAGAGTGTGTACTTCAGGGCCTGGGATGTACTACACCAGGCTGAGGAGTGTGTACTTCAGGGCCTGGGATGTACTACACCAGGCTGAGGAGTGAGTACTTCAGGGCCTGGGATGTACTACACCAGGCTCAGGAGTGTGTACTTTAGGGCTTGGGATGTACTATACCAGGCTGAGGAGTGTACTTCAGAGCCTGGGATGTAGTACACCAGGCTCAGGAGTGTGTACTTCAGGGCTTGGGATGTACTATACCAGGCTGAGGAGTGTACTTCAGAGCCTGGGATGTACTACACCAGGCTGAGGAGTGTACGTCAGAGCCTGGGATGTACTACACCAGGCTGAGGAGTGTACTTCAGAGCCTGGGATGTACTACACCAGGCTGAGGAGTGTACTTCAGAGCCTGGGATGTACTACACCAGGCTGAGGAGTATACTTCAGAGCCTGGGATGTACTACACCAGGCTGAGGAGTGTACTTCAGAGCCTGGGATGTAATACACCAGGCTGAGGAGTGTACTTCAGAGCCTGGGATGTACTACACCAGGCTGAGGAGTGTACTTCAGAGCCTGGGATGTACTATACCAGGCTGAGGAGTGTACTTCAGAGCCTGGGATGTACTACACCAGGCTGAGGAGTGTACTTCAGAGCCTGGGATGTACTACACCAGGCTGAGGAGTGTACTTCAGAGCCTGGGATGTACTACACCAGGCTGAGGAGTGTACTTCAGAGCCTGGGATGTACTACACCAGGCTGAGGAGTGTACTTCAGAGCCTGGGATGTACTACACCAGGCTGAGGAGTGTACGTCAGAGCCTGGGATGTACTACACCAGGCTGAGGAGTGTACGTCAGAGCCTGGGATGTACTACACCAGGCTGAGGAGTGTACTTCAGAGCCTGGGATGTACTACACCAGGCTGAGGAGTGTACTTCAGAGCCTGGGATGTACTACACCAGGCTGAGGAGTGTACTTCAGAGCCTGGGATGTACTACACCAGGCTGAGGAGTGTACGTCAGAGCCTGGGATGTACTACACCAGGCTGAGGAGTGTACGTCAGAGCCTGGGATGTACTACACCAGGCTGAGGAGTGTACTTCAGAGCCTGGGATGTACTACACCAGGCTGAGGAGTGTACTTCAGAGCCTGGGATGTACTACACTAGGCTCAGGAGATACGTAACTATCATTTACATTTATTCTTTGTTATCTAAGAACTTAGAGGCTGGCTCAGCACCCAGCACCCAGAACCTAGCAAACAGCACCTAGCACCCAGCACCTAGCACAAAGCACTAGCGCCCAGCACCCAGTACCTAGCACCCAGAACCTAACACAAAGCACCTGCACCCAGCACCTGCCTTCCCCAGCAACTGACCCTGTCTTCCCAAGCTACTGGCCCTGTCTTCCCCAGCAACTGATCCTGTCTCCCCCAGCAACTGACCCTGTCTTCCCCAGCAACTGACCCTGTCTCCACCAGCAACTGACCCTGTCTTCCCCAGCAACTGATCCTGTCTCCCCCAGCAACTGACCCTGTCTCCCCCACCAACTGACCCTGTCTTCCCCAGCAACTGACCCTGTCTTCCCCAGCAACTTACCGTCTCCCCCAGCAACTGACCCTTCCTTCCCAGCAACTGACCCTGTCTCCCCCAACAACTGACCCTCTCTTCCCCAGCAACTGACCCTGTCTCCCCCAGCAACTTACCCTGCCTTCCCCAGCAACTGATCATGTCTTCCCCAGCAACTGACCCTGTCTTCCCCAGCAACTGCTCATGTCTTCCCCAGCAACTGACCCTGTCTTCCCCAGCAACTGATCCTGTCCTTCCCAGCAACTGACCCTGTCTTCCCCAGCAACTGACCCTGTCTTCCCCAGCAACTGATCCTGTCCTTCCCAGCAACTGACCCTGTCTTCCCCAGCAACTGACCATGTCTTCCCCAGCAACTGACCCTGTCTTCCCCAGCAACTGATCCTGTCCTTCCCAGCAACTGACCCTGTCTCCCCCAGCAACTTACCCTGCCTTCCCCAGC